AAAATATTGCGAAAAAAACTCCTCGGCCAGGAGTCGAACCTGGAATCTCCGGCTTTCCGTGCCATCGCCTTCCCTGTTAGTTATTTTAAGAATTGAGATTTCAATTCAAAAAATACTTGTAAAAATTTTACAAGTAAAATTCGTTACATTTATATATATATATATTTGTACACGCATAGTTTCCGCACAAACATCCTGCGAATGGCTCGTATCGGCCTTATTTGATTCCTGTTAAAATATATCTATTGCTACTATTACTATTTCTTGTATGTGTGTGTATAATAATTCAAATTTACTCGTATTTATTTATTTATAATGATATTGCGAAAAAGTCGAAATGTGTGTAAAAAAGTTGGATATAGAGCGCGAAGACACAAATGCAAATTTATGGCAGTCGTCAGACGAAACTGCGCAGTGCGCTAACTAGATACTCAAGTATAATCTTCACAGCTCGATGAGCTTAACGATGCGCTGTGTACTCAATAATCGTGCTACCGATGCCATTAAAAGACGCTTGTATGCCGACGATCGGCTTTTCGCTGGCTTTTCATAGATTTACATAAAATGATTAGAAATTTCCGTTGAAATAAGAATCTTCAGTGTTATTCAGCGCGATTTATCGCATATGAAGTCAAATTCTTCTGTTAGTCAAATTTATAATGTTTCATTTCGTTACGGCGAGTAAGAATAATAACGCCATTTTATTTCAATGATCGGACAAGGCTAAAAATTATTCTTTGTGCGTGTGTGTGTATGCTTTAAAAGAGGCAATTACTCCAAGTTTGTGCTTAATTTTGCGCGAGTAAGAGATTATATGCGCGAGATTATATGCCGAGTTCACGCGTGATATTGTAAACACGTTGATACTTCATCGGGAGTTAACGTCGCGGACACGTAGTGCCGCGCAGCAATAAATTACAGCGCAGATTAGAATAGTTAATACCAGTTCGCGTCCAAACGCGACGTTACCTAGTAAATCTTGCAACAGTGTTGCACGCGGGCGGGATTGACACGAGAAAAGAAGAGAGACACACCAGAGACAGAGCCGCATCCGACAATATTAACAATACATCAATATTGGATGAAACGTAGGGGGGGGGGCGAACTGAAATACCTCCGTGCATGAAATACCTCCGGAAAATACATTTCATATGTCAGGAACAATAGATTCGACACTTTGAAGCATGAACGAGATCTAAACAAAAAAAATGAAAGTTTTGGTGGAGAGCGATTTGTAAAGAGACGTGAAAAATTATACATATTCGAAAACGGAGATCTCAGAACAGAATTCTCTCGACGTAAGCGATTTTTCTCAACCACGTTTTTTTTTTTTTTTTTGTGCCTTTTTTCACGCCTCGCCTTCCTTTTGTGACGACGCGATGTATCTTTCATTTCTGGGTGGCGTTTCAAAGTTTTGGCAGGCGACAAATGAGTCCGCTCGAAGCATTCAAACTCGAGCCCGAGATTCCGAGATTACTGTCCTTCGCGCGCATCCGAAATCTTAATTTGAACCTGTCGACAGTCAATTACCACCTGGTGCTAAAATCAGGGTAAATGGAGGTGTGACCTAACCTAACCCAACGCGCGAAGGACGATGGATGCTTTCCTCGTGGATGGCGGTTTACCAGTTGAAGGCGCCAGGACCAGGGCCGGAATTTTCGAACAAAAGAGCGGTGGCCTTGATTTAGTAGCGTGCATAATTTCGTCCTAGTCATAAATTAATATTTCCACTTCTTTGTCCATTCGCGTCTACCCGTCCTGCGGCCGTAGAAGAAAAGGATCTTGATGAATGAAAATCCTTTTATAAATTCCAATGATATATAAGCGTGGGCGCGCTGTAATTTTGATAACAGCCTGAATTTACGCGTCTGCGACTGCTTTGTCTCATGTTTTGCGCAAACGTAAAATTTTCCGCTCTGTTTATTAGCATATAAATTATACGAGCGATTATTATCTCTAGAATTGAATAATATTAATTGATTGAAATAATGTATACAAATTGAAATTTAGCGTAATTTTGTAATTCACACAAACTTAGAACGACATACTTCTTTGTTTCGAACACATGTTTGATTGATCACTTTTTTTTGCATTTTTAGTTTTATAAATAAATGAAAGAGAGAAAGACAGAACGAGCAAATGTATTGAATGGTTGTGTATTCAACTTTAATTTTATACTACTTACATATGTATTATAACTGAATCTTCTAAAGTTTGCTTTTATATGCAAGTGAATAAAAAACATGTTGTTTCGGACACATATATGAAACATATGTCATATATGTCATATATATATGTCATATATGTCATATATGTCAACATATGTTTAGCAAATTAATTTTTGGTGTTATCTATGACATAATTTTATGTTGTTATATAATTTGTATAAATTTTACAAATTACATATCAAGGCAGTTAAATACAATTAAGTGATCGTGTTTTGCAACGATATTGCTCTGATGATAGAGGTTTAGTTATTAATGATTATGCTTAATTTGATGTGTGTGTACGTGCGTGCGTGCGTGTACGTGTGCGTATGTGCGCGTCGTGTTAACAAATGAGAATAATAATTTCCATAACCAAACGCGTAATTTATGTCATTATTTATATTAATTGTAACATATATAGAGAAGCATTTGGATTATGTATGCAGAAATTATCATTTATTTAGCATATAATTAGAATAGCGCGATATTCTATTATAATAATTAACATTTTCTTTCTTTTTGTTTTAGATTTCTGAATTGGAGTACATCATATTAGGTTGCACGATTTTCAAGGTAAGATATTATAAAATCACAAATGTACAAAAAAAAACTTAATTTTGATGCGTTCGAGAGTAATAAAGCTGTTCGCAAAAAAAATCATTGCACACGAACATTCTAAATGAAAAAATAGAGGCTGAGAATTTAAGGACAACGAAACTGTATCGTGGAACGATATATCGCGATGCAAAGCTACGAACGTTAAACTTAAACAGCCCGCTAACAGCTCTACCGCGTTTCCATCAATTTAAGGCTCTACTTTTTTTATTCGAAAAACGTTCTGCTGGCTGGACTTCGCGGAAATTTAAAAGTATGTCTGTGGATATACGCAAATGTGTGTTTTCTCGTGTACGCGGAGCTTATCTATGGATTAAGACTTGAGCCTGGAATGGAGGGAAAAAAATCGCATCGATCGACTATTCAGTCGAAGCCGCGCGTGAATTAAACGACCTCGCTGCAAAGCGCAATAAAAGCGTAGAGTAATTATTCACCCGAAAATTCGTGGTTTGAACTTGGCGAATGTTTCACAATGATAAGTACTATAATTTAACTATTTATACACTTTCAAAGAACAAAAATATATCACTACGATAAAAACTAATAAAACTGATAAAATATAAATCTTCTGTCGGAATGTGATACTAAGGAAAATTACGAGATTCTATTATACGTACGTAAAATATAACAAATTTATAATAACGCATTGCACACAAAAAATAAGGGAAGAATTTTTTTCTTTCTGTCTTCTAGTAGTATCTAAAATACTTATCAGAGAAAACAATAATACTTATACTTTCTTCTCTAAATTTTAATTTGTATGTTTTTTTTTTATATGTTTTGCGTAGGCGGTATTATTTTTTATAACTATAAATATAACTATCGCACAACGCAAAAAGTTTAGTTTTATATAAACTTGGGAAAGTTGTCGACATGAAATATCGATGTCAAACAAATGGAATATTCTGTAAAATCTTATAAAAGCGAGCGAGCAAGAGAGAGAGAGAGAGAGAGNGGGGGAGGGGAGAGAGAGAGAGAGAGAGAGAGAGAGAGAGAGAGAGAGAGAGTTATATATGCATGTTTGCGAAAACACATATCGTCATACGCAATCAACATTAATCAGATCAGACCAGATTCGAATTTATGGAATAACGCGAGCGACCGTTAATCCAATCTATAATTGACATTATAATCGGCAACAGTTATATTATCAAAATTCTCTTCTCGCAGTTATCAAAAACATATCTATATAGTAATTAATCAGGTAATAGAGACACACATGTGTGTCACATTATGTATACGGTAGTGAAATTAGTGAACTAATCCAATTACAGACGATAAGAGATTAATCGAAGAAGTCTGATTAAAGATTCAGAGCATCGTTGTACCGTTTATTTAAAGCGAGATTGATCGGAAGTGTTGTATAAATATGGAATAGACGTGTTACTGCAGTAAGCGTCATTAAACACGACAGGATTTATCGCGATTCTTTCGCCACGCGACAGCAAGGCATCACAGAATTATTTGCAAATTTTGCGGACAGCCGGTGGACGGCGCGGACGAGACAAACTCGTTTAACCAATATTACGACCGCCTATATATACAGGCAGCTAGTTGCGCGGTCGGCTGAATCCGCATCATGAAAATATCACGTGACGTTTGAGCCGCATTTGCATAACGCGCGACCACCGACACGTTAGTCTCGAGGATCAACAATTATCACATCAAGCGGCTGGAAAATGCGTCGTAACTCTTCATTGTTTACATTTAATAATTTTATCTCGACCGACTAAAGAGAGAGAGAGAGAGAGAGAGAGTTTGTTTCTGAAATATTCTATCACTCAACTGCTTTATATTATGCCAAAATGGTTCGATTTCTCAAGAGAGAATTGGACTAGCACCGCCGTCTGACTAGGTACACGGCAATACTACTGAACGCGAAAAGACGGCGGAAACTGGGCCGTGGAGCAGCGCAACAAAGTCAATGCGCGGTTTGCACAGCCATGACATATCTTGGTTTATCTTGGTTTATATCTTGGTTTTCTTAGCAAATAAATCTATTTATATTGTTATTACATACAGATAAACACAATTAATATTATGTTATTACAAAATAACTTCTTTCATATGTTATATACACATATATAATATAATAACTTCTTTCATATGTTACATACATATAGAATCAAAAATGGAGTTAAAAAAAAAAGTTATTTGAAATTCTACGAGAGTTACTGTTTCGTGTTTCGGTTTTATGTCTGTTCAAAATTGTTCCTTTCATTTTCCATCAAAAGACTCGTTTAGCAGAGTTGTCAGTATCTTTTTTATCTTTCTTTTGTTTTTTTTTTTTTTTTTTCGAGCTCGAGGTGCATTTAGTAGTGTGAGCCGTCACGTCCGTCGCAGTGGCAATTTGTGTCAGGCAACAGAACATCAGGTCTCCGAGCCACTGAAATTTTTAATTCCTTACGAGACGAAGTGGGGAGACGCGAGAGAACGGAGGTTCATTTGTTCTGGGACAATTATGTCGCGAGAATAAGGCGCCGAGCGGATCTCGGCACAAAAGCAGAAGCGAGAAGAAGAGACGATAGCGTCGTACACTGCAGAAGAGAAGTGTTGCTAAATGCAGTGCTAGCAGGTCTTTTAACTTTCTGGCGTTAAGGCGAGTATTTGTTGCCGAAAATATGTATAATTAATCTGTATTTATAATATACGTTAATTTTTATGAGTTAGCGAGTCAGACACGACGAATGTTATTTGCTCCTTGTAATTTATTTGACTAGAAATAATCTTGATTTTTACAGCGTAATTGCAATGAGACTTATATCTCATTAACTCTCTAATTAACACAAATACAATAATAATTTATATACGTAATCAGAAGTTACTTGTGCAGAATGACAAAATTCAACGTTATTATGCAACGCTTTTTCGTAACATATCTCTATGATTTGTTATTTTGTTCCGCGTGCCACCGGTTAATTCTCGTTGCAATGGGAAAAGGAGGAGGAGGTGTGATACGTGGGGTTCAATCTCTCGCTCTCGCGATTGTCGAGGCCCATTTACATCGCAGACTCGGGTCGTGCGCATTGTGTCGAAGTGCCGCACCGAACGTACGCGGGAAACCATCGAGTCTCGTGGCAGTAATTCGCTTTCGGCACCCGTCAGTTCCATACTTGTCTGCCGTGGCTGTGCAGACCGCGCATTGACTTTGTTGCGCTGCTCCACGGCCCAGTTCCCGTCGTCTTTTCGCGTTCAGTAGTATTGCCGTGTACCTAGTCAGACGGCGTTGCTAGTCCAATTCTCTCTTGAGAAATCGAACACCGTTACACGAAGGTGCTTTCAGTTATCTTCTATGGATTGATCTTTCATTTTTCTCCATTCTTAAAGAAAACTAGTTACGTTTCGAGTGACAAGTGTTCTTGCGAAAAATTTCAAAATTCGAAAATACCAAACTTATACACGCTTTTGGTTTTACTTTTTTGTTTTTAATACTTGAAGTTTATAGTTTCATAAATTTTTTTTAGATTTAAAAAAATGTTGTCTTAATTATTTAAAACTTAATAAAATATTAAAGATTTTTTAAAGAACAATTTTTGATGAAAAATAAGCAGTCTTATAACGAGCACACGTATTTGTCTTTTTCATGTAGGATTTTTGAGCTCGATGCTTTTCGTCAGATACAAACATAATTATCAAATTTAATAATCAATGTTTAAAATTAACGGCCATACAGAGCCAGTGCAGGATGTTGTGCAATAATTAAATAAATTAAAAAATTTTTTTAGCTTCAAAACGTTTCGACTTTTTATTGAAGTCCTTATCAATTGAATCTGGTTACAATAAAGAGCAATAATTAGAGATAACAAACTACAATGTGAATTACAAACGTTACACGTAATTCACATTGTAGTTTGTTATCTCTAATTATTGCTCTTTATTGTAACCAGATTCAATTGATAAGGACTTCAATAAAAAGTCGAAACGTTTTAAAGCTAAAAAATTTTTTTAATTTATTTAATTATTGCACAACATCCTGCACTGGCTCTGTATGGCCGTTAATTTTAAACATTGATTATTAAATTTTGTTGAGAGCCTGAGGTGATTCCTCTATACTTCTATGTAAATAATTATCAAACAAACTTCACTGCGTGCAAAGAACGCATTACGCGAGATGCATTAAAATGCAGTTTATGGTGCTGCGAGAATGATGTGCTGTCGGATCTTTTGTTCGTTTCACGGTTGATGCGAGTTTCGCTCCTTTCTCTAAACAGCGAACTATCATCGCATCATTGTAATTTTTAGTTTTGCCCAACTTTGAAGTTGTGAAAATCGACTGGGTGCGGATGTTTCCCAAAATATGAAATTTACAATCGAGAAGATGGCAACCTGTAAAGGTTGTTCGATTTTTTAAAAAGTTATTCTCCGATATATCAGGTACTCGATCTTGGCGAAATTCCTGTAGCTAACTCGATATGTTGTCACGTACGAACGTAATTATCGAACAAACTTAAGTCGTTGTATTAACTCGAGCCATTTAAAGGTTGAGAACTGCTAATGGGAATGTCGTTAACATCGCACTCATCGACCTGTAAATTCGTAAAAACTTTTGCGAACATAATATGTGATATCGCGAGAGAGCAAACGCGCAAGAGATATATAATCAATCCATTTGCCACTTAACATCAAGAACGTAATGCAATGTTTACATAAAATTGTTAAATATTGAAAGAATGATAAAAACGAGCAGTTTTTGAAGTAAAACTTGTTAATATCTAAATGAAAATATCGATAACAAAGTGTCTGCAACATTACTCAATCAATTACAGATAATATGATTTTAAAGAGAATTTTTGGTAAATATACAGAATAGGGGAGCCTTCTACGATCGGCTTCTCGTTCACATATATTATTAAGATTACCTTTCTGAGTAACAATATGAAAATTTTAGTCGTCGCTCATTGTTTATAAAAAAGTTATGATCAAAAAAAGTTTCATAAATAAATCTTTTTTCCCAACAA